TTATGACTATACCATGGAAACTTGTTTGGCTTTTTATTTGGAACTGCTTAAAAAATTGTCGATGAGATGGGATTCATGAACTCTAGTTGCATTCATTGGTGTAAGACGAAAAGCTGAAACACCTAAATGATTATCACCTAATTTGTTATGAACTTAAAACATGACATTACCAGCATGCGCACGATAAATATCATCATTACTATTAGGGGGTACGTACATAAGATACAATGAAATACAGCGATCCATGTGATGAGGGTCCTTGTATGCACACGCAAAGTTGATCGAGGAGATTTATTATTATTATCAAGCTTGAAAGAGTGCAGCTTTCGTTGGACTGCGACGGGAACTCCACCGCCTTTTACACTTCCAGTTTTGAAAGAGTGTCCTTCCGATATACAAACATGCATTATAGATACGGCGACCATTGATACCGATTTTGGCGGGACAATACCGATTTTGAGGAAGTTGTCCCGGTGAATTTTTTTTTAAGTCGAGACGTATAATTGTCCAAAATTTTCAGTGTTTTCTTTATTGATTTAATAAAAGTCTCCGTGTACTCTGGCCCAAAAACCACTTTTCGGACAAACTTGGCAGCACTTTCGTAATATCAAAGAACATACACTACAAGAGAGCCATAAACATAGCCACCCATAAACATCCTTCTTTCCTATGATCCCTGGTTATGTTTTATTCTGTAAAACTGGTACTCTCACTATATATCAGTCTTTCATTTTTGCTTTAATTTTCTTTAAGGTTTGAATAATTATTAAGTTTTTTTTTACTGAAACGATACTAACTTGAATTTACTGAAATTATAAAAACAATACTAATTTCCTTCAAAAATTCACGGATATAGGAAATATACCTATATTGTTTGTATACATTTTTGCGATAGTTTTTCAAGTTTGTTTCTCTTTTTTGTTTTAAACTGTATTAAAAGTTATTTTAAAAACAAAATTGTATGTTTTGATTCGATGGTTTAGAAATGTCCCGATTTTCGTCCACACAAATCTGTAGCTCGTTTCTGTAACTCTTCTCTACCGATTATTTCTCTACTGGTATGAGAATATACGTCATTCTCTACTACTCATTAGTAGTAACACATATAATAACATTTGCTGGTCAAAGGTCAGGCGAAAGTATCTTGTCGTGCGCGAACGCGGACCGCCGTGGTATTATGCACTTTTAAAGCTATATACACTTAGGTCTCTTTTTAAGCGGATTTTTTCGCTGTAGCGATTTTGCTTTTTTGAGGGTTTTTATTACTTGTTTTCAGTTTGTAAGAGACAATGCTTCTGATAAATAATTTATATTTGTATTCTTACATAATTCATGTAATTATTGTGGTATTTTTTTTTTTGTTTTTGGTTAAAATACAGATAAAATATTTATTTATTTGATTAATGCTCAGTTTTACATGGAATAATAAGTGTTGAAGTGAAGAAATAAATTGTTTTATTTTTCGCTTAATATTGCCTCACTGGATTTTTTATGCGATTTTTGAGAATTTTTACATGGAGGAAGGATCTGAATTTATGCGGTTTTTGAAAATGCTGGAACGTATCCTCTGTTTTTGTATGAAAGTAAAGAACTTTTTTATGCGCCTTTCTGAGGAACGCATGTAGTGCATAAAAAAAACCTAAGTGTACTATCTTCATAGTATGTAGTATGTTAGAAGTGTATTTTGTCAATATTTTTTTGATAGAGCAATAATATTCATGGATTTCGGAAAGGTAATACTATTGTGTATGGACGATAAGCCTTATTACTCGTCACCGTAAAGTTTGCATGATTTTTAATATTTCTGGCATTAATTCACTTTTCAATTGTGTATTAATGGCAATGACATTATTTCTACAATTCTTCCGACATTATTTCGCTTTTGGCATTGACATTAATTCACTTTTGAATTGTGTATTAATGCCAATGACATTAATTCCACTGACATTATTGCACGTCTTACATGGAAGGTCCTAGGTTAAGGCTTCTATCGCAGCTTTTACGAAACAGATTTGAGAAGTGTATGATTTTAGATATTTTATACATGCGAAAAATAGACGACTGTATGAATACTATATGGAAAGATTTTGCAGAATGTGTGCTGCCAGATTTTTAATGTCAAAATTAAAATGTATTTAAGGGATGGATTTACAAGGGTATTATAACTTTGTTCACATAACGGTTCTTTGTAACAGGCAAAACGAATCGAGATAGATATAGACAAATGTATACATAAATGGTCAGAATGAAAAGAGAAATCGATTAAGCGGTGACTGTCTGTCCGTCCGTCCGTCCGTCCGTCTGTGCACACGATAACTCGAGTAAAAATTGAGATATCTTAACGAAACTTGGTACGTGAACTTCTTTTGGGCGTGGGACGGATGGTATTGAAAATGGGCGAAATCGGATAATAACCACGCCTACCTCCCATATAACGGTAATTTTAAGAAATACGAAAACTGCGATATTTTAGTAACTACTGAAGACAAATCACTCAAAATTGATACTTACAATGAGTTTCACACGGAAAACACGAATATTACAAATTTTTGGAAAATGGGCGTAGCCACGCCCACTTATGGTTACATGTGTATATCTTGGTAACCGCTGCACCAATTTCTTCCAAACTTGGCACAGTTGTTGGCCTTAGTACAGCATACTAAGTGGCTGAAAATTTTAAAAATCGGACAATAACCACGCCTACCTCCCATATAACGGTAATTTTCAGATATGCTTGAATTTCAATATTTCGAAATTTAAGGACACTAATTTACTTAAAATGTATACACCCCGGCTTATCATGTAGCGGTAGCTTTCGGAAAGGTGGAAAACATATATTTAATACTTGCGCCGGATATTTAATGTTCGGCTCCGCCCGAACTTAGACTTTCTTACTTGTTAAATAATCGTTTAACAAAAAATATGCCGAAAATATGCTTTGTAGTTAAAATATGCGCTATACCTTTAAATATTCTATCATAACCAAAAATGGCGAAACTATTCAAAAATATGGTTATTAGGTTAATGCATATTTTTTTCTTCTCTAGTTCTCACTAATCCAATTTTTTAGTTTTTTACTATTGGTTCTATTACTTATATCTAGGTCTTTTAGATCATTAGGCAATTGGTTAAACCTTTTTAAGTCTTTGATTCTACTATTTTTATTACTTACAATTATATGTATTCTTGGAAAACAATATTGACTACCAATTTTTATCCTTAGCACACCTTTTTTTAGAGCATAATCAACTATTTTTTTGCTATTAGCAATAAAAATTCTAAAACAGTAAAGTCGGAATTGTAATGGATTGTATACCGTTATTTTTTTATTTTGAAATCAAAAAATATTTAGAGGTCGCTCAAAGCGCTCAAAGTTTTACATGTATTTTTATATGGAAAAAAAACAACTTTTCGTAGAAATGGTACAGAACTCTTGAATGTTTATTTAACCATTTTTTAATACTAACGATTTTTTATTGGGCTCCTCATTGCATTTTTCGGGGTTTTTGGGGACCTATAAATTATAGTAGCGATGAAAAAATGGTTAAATAAACAATTGGTTGTTATTACTGGGAGTCTCCTGCAGATAATGATTCTTAAGAATTATATACCATCCTACGAAAAGTTGTTTTTTCCCCATATAAAATACATGGAAAACTTTGGGCGCTTTGAGCGACCTCTAAATATTTTTTGATTTCAAAATAAAAAATGGGGGTTATATTTTTTCGGTATAGAACAATCCTAGGGGGTGAGAGCACAAAAATGCCGACTTTACTTTTTCACATGCATTTTTGGACCACCCTAATGTACATGCCTCAGCCTATGAAAAGATTTTTTGCTCGAAAAGTCCAGATTTTGAGGAACGCTTGAAAGTATGTATATACATATGTATGTCTCATTTTTAGATACGTGATCCAGCACAAGAATTCACAAAAGGCGAGATTTTTGACTACTTCTTTATTACGGTATCACCAATGTTATCAGACATATTCCCTTGTTATTATAAGGTAAATAGTTTGCCCATTAATATTTTATATTTACTAGCTTAAATTAAATGTTTTTAGTTTGCAGCTGGTGAGCATCAATTCCTAGTGCGTCAATGCTTCGATCAATTAAAATATTTAGTTGATATTTGCAAAATGGAAATAAAAGTTCCACGATTTTCTAATGATTGCCATTCAGCACTTTCTCACGTGAATATAGATAAGGTCTTAAAATACTACATGGTTATGAATATTAGACCTTATAAACGGGGACAAGTAGATCCAATGGACTGCATTGATAAAGCACTAACTCGCCGTTATAATGGCATAAACAGACTGCTGAATCTGGACAACTTTCAAAGCATTGATGGTAGTAACATTAATAGTCACGTATAAAATATTATGACCGCAAATATTTTCTGAATTGAATTTGAATATTTTCTGAATTGAATTTCGATGTACTTAAACCAAGCCACCAGTGTGAAACTAAAAGCTTGTTTGATCCATAAGCCAGTGACAATAAATTTAATTAAATCTGTCTGCTATAGAGTTATATCGACAGATTTTAATGTAAATTCTGACAGTTTAAAAGTACCCACGAAGATTTTTCTGACGGTCTTAATATTCTACACATGACGTTATCTTTAATTATTTAATTATAATGTTCATCATTTTTCAGGATTGGAAAATATCATAATTAATTTAAGCTCACCGAAAATGCTTAGCCGCGTCCTCATGCAGGCATCACGAAAATGTCTTACCAGTTGTGTGGAACTTCGTTTGGCGCACAATAAAATTACCAATGCCAATGTATCGAAAGTTTTGAGTTTGATGAGCAACTTGAAAGCAATAGACTTAGGTAACAATTGGATATTGGATTTGGCAGATGTAAAAGAGTTATCTACGCTTGGCTTGAAGACTTTACGACTGGATGGCAATCCATTGTGCGCGAAATATTCGTTCGCTGGTGAATATATAAGAGCTGTACGGAGACATTTTCCAGAGCTGACAAAACTGGTATGTTTAATATATTAAATAAATTAGGGTTGGGCGGCAGAACAGTTCACGCGCAGTAGCGCGAGCAAGCAGAAGCTAGATGCGGGGTTAAACCTAAACGCGAAAGGGTAAGCAATAGCCGTGAATAGGCTATAGTGTTCACTTTTTTGTTGCCGTGTTGCCACGGACAATTTTTTTTTCCTACCAAGACCAACCAAAACCTACCAAAAGTTTTTTAAATTTTTAATCTGCTTTTTTCAATGTCGAGTTTATTAAAAATGAAGATAACATAACATTTAGTAAAACTAAAACCCAGCTATAACAATTCATTTTACTGTAAAAACTTACACAAGTGTTTGTCTCTTTACACATACATATTGTTATTATTATTTATTATACCCGAGCGCACTTGTGCACAAGGTTATATTAATTTTGTACACATAACGGTTGTTTGTAACAGCCAAAACGAATCGAGATAGATATAGACAAATGTATACATAAATGATCAGGATGAAAAAAGAAATCGATTAAGCCATGTCTGTCTGTCCGTCCGTCTGTCCGTCCGTCCGTGTACACGATAACTCGAGCAAAAATTGAGATATCTCAACGAAATTTGGTATGTAGGTTTCCCTTAATCCAAGGTAGGTTGGTATTGAAAATGGGCGAAATCGGACTTTAACCACGCCCACTTCCCATATAACGGTAATTTCCAGAAATACGAAAACTTCGATATTTTAGTAACTACTGGAGATTATTCACTCAAAATTGATATTTACAATAATTTTTAGACGAAAAATAAGATATTATAAATTTTTGGAAAATGGGCGTAGCCACGCCCACTTATGGTTACATGTGTATATTTTGGTAACCGCTGCACCAATTTCTTCCAAACTTGGCACAGTTGTTGGCCTTGGTACAGCATAAAAAATCGCCGAAACTTTTTAAAATCGGACAATAACCACGCCCACATCCCATATAACGGTAATTTAGAGAAATACAAAATCTTCGATAAATCAGTAAATATTGAAGCTAATTTATTCAAAATTGATGCTTGCAACAATTCTTTACCAAGAAATACGTTTATGGTAAAATTTTGGAAAATGGGCGTGGCACCGCCCACTTATGATCACATATATGTATATCGGTAACCGTTCTACCAATTTGTACCAAACTCGGTGCGGTTATTGTGCTTGCGACATATAAGCAAAACGTTGAAAATTATTGAAATCGGACTAAAATACCGGCCGCTTCTCATATAACGGTAAATTTCAGAAATGCTTGAAACTTCAATATTTCGAAATTGAAGGACGCTAATTTACTCAAAATTGATACACCCCGGCTTACCATCTAGCGGAAGGTTTCGGAAAGGTGAAAAAACATATATTTAATACTTGCGCCGGGTATTTAATGTTCGGCTCCGCCCGAACTTAGACTTTCTTACTTGTTTTTTTATGATTGTTATTTGCGCAAGAATCCCGCATCTGGCTTCGCAACTCTGCATGTCTTCAGATGCAGGAGCGCGCTACTAGAGCCTCATGGTTGCTCTATTGTGGGGGCGCTTCATTCGGGTGCCCTCAGTAGACAGCGGATTACGCATTTCACGTATCTCGCAATTGCTTCCCACTTGTCTGCACTGGAGATCATTACCCCAATTACGTTGTTCGGGGTTATGTCTCCGTATCTTTCTTCCAAAAATCTGCGCGAAGTCAAGAAGTGCTCGCAAGTAATAATGTATGGTGTACGTTTTCACAGTAATGACAGAACCGTGAGTCTACTCTGCCCATTCTATGAAGATATTCTCGGAAGTAACCATGACCGGCGAGGAATTGCGTCAGGTAGAAATCGACTTCCCCGTGAGTCTTTTCAACCATGTTTAAAGGTCGGCTATCAGGGTGTGCCTTCATCGACCTTTTGTGCTCGCTTTCCAGTTTTGTTGCCACTGCTGGATTAGTTGCTCGCGTGCCCTTGCCACGGCAGCTGCTCGGCCTATCTCGGTACTGAAATTGTAAATCTCTTTTCGCTCGTAAGTAAGTAGCTCATTTGGCATGGCGCCAGAAATAACTAGAACCGCGTCCGCGGACACCGTACGGTATGCAGAAGCAATGCGTAGTGCCCCTCAGTGCTGGACTGAAGACATTTGAATCCGGTATTTTTTGACTTTCAATGCGTCGGCCCATATTTCTGACCCGTACAGGAGCACGGACTGGGCTGCTATCATCAAAAGTTCCCTACGGCATGGCTTCGGGCAGAGCTGCGTAAGTGTGAAATCATTTTCAATTTTAAATCAGCATTTTTTTTCTATTCGATTTTCATTACATATTCCTCGCTTAAGATTGAGGCTTATAATTTTTAAAATTTCCATTCACTCAAAGCAGTTATGAATTCACACATCAACATATTCATAGCAAGATTGAAAACACCAATGCCAAATCAAAAAAAGGGTTTAACACTGAATGAGTATTGAAAAGGCTGCAATTTTTATGTGTGTGCATCCTTTAATTCAGTACCAATCATTAGTTCGAAGACACCCTGGTAAACAACTTTTTGATAAAAAGGCAGATTTTTGACAATTGCTCAATTGTAAAAATTCGAAGCGGTGTTACCCAATTTAAGTTTTTTGGTAGAGAGTGTTTTATATCATAAATTTGGGATTATTTATAAAACAGTTGTATTAACATTTACCTTTTAAAAATAGTTCATATCTTATATTAAAAATTTTTAAATTTTACATTAAATTCGATAAACACTTCGCAAAAACTTTAATATTTAGGTTAATAAAATTTTAGAGAACATATTTTAAAAATATTTAGTGACTTTATGTCATCTGATTATTTCACAATGTAACTAGCCAGGACTATTACAGTTTTCAATATCGGGTGCGATTCTTTCTGATACAATTTGAACACTGAAATTACAAATTTTGATGTGTAATTTAATGCATATTTAGGGGATTCACAATTCGTGTTAGACGTCGTAATGTCTTAAAGGCTTAAAATGGTTAAATATAAAGTAACGGTTAAAAGCGATTTGAAAGACTCGTTGGGTATAATATTTTCCCTACTAGTTTAAAAACATTTTGGTTATGTTACAAAACGCCTAAAGAGGTATTAGGGGACGTTTAAAAATTTTAAGACTTTAACACATTACGATACTTAACACCTCTTGTGAATCCTCTATATGTATTTGACTATTAAACTATATCGTTGTTTATTTGGGTAAAATTAAAATATATTTCACTGTTCAATATTGGAGTTGGTGTGAAGTATGCAAGTGAGAACAACAATTATCGACATTAGCCTCATTTATTTAAAAAACAAAAGAGATTTTGCTTGATAAAATTTCGATTCTAAGAATAAAATGTTTTTAAACAAACAAAAAATTAACAATAAAATTTGAAGGGTTTTAAATACTGCGTATGGTAGCATAAAATTTTACAATCTGCTTAATTGTCAGGTTGTTTTTTGTACCATAGAAACACATAGCAACTGATTTCACACTTACAGTGGGATAAACTTAAAACCTCTAATATAAATTAGTTACATTTAGTTAAGATTTTTTTATCGATTTTAAGTTTTCGTTTGGAATAATTTTCATGAACTAATCTATTAAGAGATCTTTTTAAAAAATTGCCGTTCATCTGATATCTATTAAAAAAAAGAAGTTCAGGATACAAGTTTATGTGCAAAAAATAAATTAAACAATAAAAGTCTCCTAATATTTATGAAACTTATAATAGAAAAATTTTTATTTCATTACCCAGACTTTATGAATAGCCTACTCCAGGGGCGGATCCAGCGGGGGGGGGGGGGGGGGGCTGGGGGGAGTTTTGGGGGTTAAACTACGTGTCAGTCAGTGGCGGACCCACGGGGGGTGTTTTAATACATAGACGCCATATTATACATACATATGCGCCATATTAAAACACACCCCGTGCGCCCGCCACTGACTGACACGTAGTTTAATACCCAAAACTCCCCCGCTGGATCCGCCACTGGCCTACTCTATAAGTAATAATAGAAATTCCGAATTAGTAAGTTCAGTCAAGATGTCATTCAAAAGTTTTGAAGAAAATCACTTTTGATGTAATGTGGAACGATTTTCCGTCATCCCTTGTCAAATTTGGTTTGGAGACAAACCGGTTTCGGCGTTGTGCCATCTTCAGTGTCATTTTTCGTTCTGGAGAACCTCCTACCCTGTCGGAAACAACAACAACGAAAATGAGAAAATCACTTTTCTCTTTTGTGAAAATTTGGGACTATCTTATGCGAGTATTGTCGGCAAAATGTTAGTCTATGAATGATTAAAAATTAACGAATAAATGGTTAATTGTGATTAATGATTAAAATTAATTAAGCATTCGCTGTGGTGTAGTGGTTACAAGTGGGCACTACCATTCCGCAGAGTGAGGGTTCGAGCCCAGTTCCGGCCAACATAAAAAAATAAATTTTTTTTTTGTAATAGTGGTCGGCCCCCGGCAGGAGTCGGCGTAAAACTGTAGGTCCCTCAACGCATGCCACAATCGGAGAAGAAGCTCCGCTAAACACTAACATATCGTCCCGTTTCTGCCTTAACCTCGTATCTGCAATAGAGGTATTTTAGAGAGTGTAAGAGAAAATGCTTAATTTCTTCCCCTAGGATACAATAAACGCATTTTTTGCTTAATATTTCTGGTTCCACTAACAGTAGTGAGAACCCTCATTAAGTCTTTGTTCTATGTTCAAGTGTGACGCTTAAACAGCTGTTATAAGTGGTACTATTAGTTTTCCCAAAAATTGTAGATACGTGGTTAAGGCAGAAACGGGACGATATGTCGATGGTCCTCTGCAATAACGGCACAACTCAGGTTTTTGAGATGTATATAGTGGATTAAGTTTATAAATAACCATATTCTTCTGTGGCATATCGACATAGGCTTTGTTGTTACCAATCCGGCAGAGGCAAAGTTTTGCCATTTGGCATAAAACCGAAGTAGCCAACCCTTACTACTTAACAGTGGCAAATGTCTAACATTAATCGTGAAT